AAAAAATTGGATGACCTTCACGTGACCTTGACAACGCTATTCAAGGTCATACTAATATCACTATCTGATGCATAACATAAAACCCTACAACTTTTGTATATAACATTTTTTTCAAAAATGCTTTGCTTTCGAAAAATTTGACTGGTCCGGGACTTTTTCCCCACCCTGTATAACTAGTATGCCCACTCTCTGTCGAACCTTTGATTTTTTCGATTTCGATCACGTGGTATTCCGTCATTACTTTGATGTGTAAAATCTTTTTACACCGTCATACTACCACATATATGCACACTACACATATACAACATTTGTCTCATTGGCCACACCAAGATAATGACGGACGCGCAGAAAGTATCGGCGCAAAACGAAACAAATGACTGAGTGGGCAACAAAGCAGTTAGCTCTTTTATTCAACTATTTCTATATGTTCATATGATCATTACTATCATACATAATTCCGGCAAGGCTTGTCGATCTTGTGACGGCAAGTTGTGTCACAATGTGTCAGGCAAACCATGCTGTTCACGTGCACTTCATATGCCGACTCAATTGTTGCAAATATGCCGACACGTCTATGAGCACACGTAAATGCGTTATGCTGACTGTAGTGTTTGTAAGCCTAAATGTAACTAGGCATAGTTACATTCACTGTCTCGTGCGCACGAATGCGACGGGGGGCGCGAGGAACACACGAGAGCAGCAAGCGAGAGTGTACGTGCCACCTGCGTGCTTCGGGGTGTTGGCGAGCCAGTAAATAATAAAAGGACGCGTATAATACATGTGGCGACGAGGTAAAGAATAAAAATAATAAGGAGAAAGGAAACGTGAGTAAACAATGTGCCCGGCACTACGTAACCCGATCAAGTGATTAGAGGTTAGGATCGATAGGCTATCACGTATACTACATATTATTAGTTACCTTGAGATGTAAGCAGAATAAAAGTAAATGTAGCGGCTTGGAGACGTTAATTATAGAACTAACTCTCACGCTGTAAACACGGAAAATATGACGCGATAATAGGTAATTAAGGAACGAATAAATCCACTAAACTGGAAACGTGTGCTTGGTACAAAGGTACCCCCATTAAAGTGGAATACATGGTATATAGTACCTCCATTAAATTGGAATATATGGAATCAAATGGTATATAGTGCCCCCATTAAATTGGAATACATGGTACATAGTACCTCCATTAAATTGGAATATATGGTATAATATGATATAGTACCCCCATTAAATTGGAATATATGGTATACAGTACCCCCATTAAATTGGAAAATATGGTGTAGAGTACCCCCATTAAATTGGAAACATCTGGTATAGTTATCCATTAGATTGGAAACGCATTGAAAGAAATACATACATCCCAAATTGTAAACCACCATCAAATCAAAACGGTCACTGCCATGTGAAATGAATTCCTTTTCAGGTCGCCTAAATAGTTATATAAGATTTCAAACACACTGCCACCACTAGAAAAACTTGATCTGGAGGGGGATGGTGCCTCAGTTGGACAAAGATGGGAAAGATGGAAAAGATCCTTACACATTTACCTCGAGGCGTCTGGTATCAAATGCCCAATAAAGAAAAGAGCGACTTTATTGCTGCTAGGTGGATCAGTTCTGCAGGAGATCTTCTATAATTTGCCGGATGCTAACGCAGAGACGAGTAGGGAAACTGATGCTTTCGCAGTAGCAGTACGGAAGCTCGACGACTATTTCATACCGAAACAAAGTAAAGTTTATGAAAGACACGTCTTTCGACTTCTTAAACAGGAAGAAGGAGAAAAATTTGAAAAATTTTTAGTAAGGTTAAGAACCCAAGCAGTCAAATGCAAATTTGAGAAGCCAGAAGAACATTTAATAGACCAAATAACCGAGAAAGGTACTTCAACAGAATTGCGGAAAAAAATTTTGACAATAGGAGATGACATCACACTGGATAAAATAATTACAGAAGCTAACACACTAGAAGTCGTGAACCATCAATTGGAAGAGTACGAACAAAAAATTAAGAATCAAGACGTAAATGTAAACGCAGTGAACAATAAAAACAACAAGGCTCCAAACCCAGACGGACAAAAGAACCGATTCTCGAGTAATAAAAGATGTGGGAGGTGCGGAAGTTATAAACACACTTCGGAAGATAACAACTGTCCCGCAAGAGGAAGGAAATGTCATGATTGTGGGAAATTAGGACACTTTCGCCAATATTGCAAGACTCAAGGGATACGGAAACGGAAAGCGGATGAAATAAAGAAACAAGATGGAGAGAAGAAAGAAAAACAAGCTCGGAAAGGAAGCGGAATAAATAGGGTCGAAAACGAAGAAGTTGATTACGTTTTTAATGTTAATTATAATGCGACAGTAGAATGCGAAGTAGGAGGTGTCAAGATAAACATGCTAATTGATTCTGGATGTAAATTAAACTTAATCACAGACAAAACATGGGAATTCCTAAAAGATCAGAAGGTTACAAGTTTCAACTTAATTAAGGAACCAGACAAGACATTACTGGCTTATGGCAGCGATACACCACTCAACATCCAAGGCTCATTCGAGACAGGAATCAAAGTGAACAATCGAGAAGAAACTGCAACCATATACGTAATTTCAAGGGGATCAAGAGATTTACTAGGCAAAGACACGGCTATTCGTCTGGGTGTTCTAAATCTGGGCCTCAACGTGTATCAAATTGGAAACAGGCCTTTCTCAAAGTTTAAAGGTGTGTTAGTAGAAATTCCCATCGACGAATCAGAAAAACCTGTTTCACAACCCTACCGGCGAATACCAATCCCGATCGAAGAGAAAATAAACAAAAAAATAAAGAAATTGCTGGACGCTGACATAATAGAAGAAGTAAACGAACCTTCGAAGTGGATTTCACCAATAGTTCCCATACTAAAGGACAACGGAGAATTACGTTTGTGTGTGGACATGAGACGGGCAAACGCTGCGATTAGGAGAGAAAATCACCCATTGCCATCCATGGACCATCTCTTACCGAAGATAAGGAAAGCTGCATTTTTCACAAAATTGGATATAAAAAATGCATTCCATCAAGTAGAGCTACATCCCAACTCTAGGCATATAACTACATTTATAACTTTGAAAGGATTGTACCGATACAAACGGTTAATGTTTGGTATCACTTGCGCACCCGAATTATTTCAGAAAATACTGGAAAAGATGCTGATCAAATGTGAAGGAGTTATAAACTTTATCGATGATATTCTGGTCTACGGATGTACAGAACAAGAACATAATTTGCGACTACAAAAAGTATTGCAAGTATTGGAAGAAAATAACGTTTTACTTAACCAGGCAAAATGCGTATACAAAACGAGGAAGATAAATTTCCTAGGGCATGAATTAACACCAGGGGGAATTAAACCACTGGACAAATATGTCAGAAGCATCACCGAATTCAGAACGCCGAAAACAGTCGACGAACTGCAAAGCTTCCTGGGGTTACCCAATTATATAAATAAATGGATTCCCAATTTGGCTACACTAACAGAACCGTTAAAAGAACTATTGAGGAAAAAGATCAAGAAAAACGCTAGTATTGAAGAATATTGGACTAAGAAGCAGGAAGAAGCATTTAAAGGACTAAAGGGAACACTCATAAACATACAAACTCTTGGCTATTATGATGTTAAGGATAAGACACAGGTCATCGCGGATGCAAGCCCTGTAGGATTAGGAGCTGTCCTTGTGCAGATTGATACAAACGGACCTCGAATCATCGCTTATGGAAACCGAACTTTAACTGACTGCGAGCGTAAATACAGCCAGACAGAGAAAGAGGCTCTAGCTTTGGTCTGGGCTATCGAACATTTTAGAGTATTTCTTTTCGGGAAGGAATTTGACCTGGTCACCGATCATAAGCCCTTAGAAGTTTTGTTTGGACCGAAATCCCGACCATGTGCACGTATCGAAAGATGGGTTCTGAGATTACAATCATATCGTTATAACATAAAATACAAACCCGGAAAAACCAATATTGCAGATCCACTCTCACGATTATGCAAATACTCAATCAATCCTCAAGCCGGAAACGACAAATACGTACACCAGATAGTAGAATATGCTAGACCACATGCAATCCCTATGAGCGACATCGGCAAGCATTCTGAAGAGGATCCAGAAATCTGCAGTGTAAAAAAAGGCATCTATAAAAATGACTGGGACGATGCAGTTAAGGGATACAAGATTTTCGAGAACGAACTTTGTTTTTACGGTAACATACTGTTGAGAGGAAGCAAAATAGTAATACCTCAAACACTAAGGAAAGACGTATTGGACGCAGCGCATGAAGGTCACCCAGGTATAGTGGCAATGAAAGGACGGTTGAGATCTAAAGTTTGGTGGCCGAGAATAGATAAGGATGCGGAGAAAATTGTGAAAAGCTGTAAAGGTTGTACTCTGGTTGGAATGCCAAACCCACCAGTTTGCCAAACCCAAAGTTTCCCATGAAACGTCGAGAACTCCCTGCGGCACCCTGGAACGATGTGGCAATGGATTTGTTAGGACCATTACCTAATAGCGACTACTTACTAGTGATAATTGATTATTATAGCCGATATAAAGAAATAAAGGTAACGAAAACAATCACTAGTACGCAAATAATGAAACTATTAAAAGAGCTATTTAGTCGACTGGGTTACCCTATTTCCATCACAGCGGATAACGGTCGACAATTTGTAAGTGAGGAGTTTAAAGCTTTTTGTAAAGAGTGCAACATTACTCTCTTCAACACAATTCCCTACTGGCCGCAGCAAAACGGAGAGGTGGAGAGACAAAACCGGGATATATTGAAACGTCTTAAGATCAACGTAATAGAGAAGAAGGACTTAAAGGAAAGCTTATGGGAATACCTGATGATGTATAATTCAACCCCGCATTCTGTAACAGGCAAGACACCGGCAGAACTTTTTTTCAGGAGACAGAATAGAGATAAAATCCCTACACTACAGGACATAAATGACAAAGAAAACGATTCAGAAGTGAGAGACAAAGACAGGGAACAAAAGGAGAGAGGGAAAGAATATGGCGATAAGAAAAGAAGAGCAAAAGATTTTGAGGCAAAGGAAGGAGACAAGGTGTATATAAAAGAGACAGAAAAAACAAACAAGCTCACCCCAAATTACAAACCAACACCACACGTGGTGGAATCATCGCAAGGTGGAGACGTCATTGTAAGGAACGAAGAGACAGGTCAAAGGCTAAGGAGAAATGTAATACATTTAAAGAAAGTAGAAGGCGAATGGGAGACGGTCCAGGAAGGAAATAGCGGAAACCAAGACCAGTTGCAAGAGGAAGGAAAAAGAGATTGATGGATGGACAACTCCTTGATTAATATGGTACTGTAATATTGATGTATAAAATAAAATAAAATAAAATAAAAAATTTTGTTAACAAGGAAGGGATGTAGTGTTTGTAAGCCTAAATGTAACTAGGCATAGTTACATTCACTGTCTCGTGCGCACGAATGCGACGGGGGGCGCGAGGAACACACGAGAGCAGCAAGCGAGAGTGTACGTGCCACCTGCGTGCTTCGGGGTGTTGGCGAGCCAGTAAATAATAAAAGGACGCGTATAATACACTGACATAATGCAGACATTTTGCTATCTGGGTGGACATTGCAAAGAGAAGTTGTTCAAAAAGGGGTGAAACGTCACAGAAACCCCCTGCATAGGTCCTTTGAGAATAAAAGAACAAGATATCACAGGGAAAAATAAAAGAAAATTTTCTCTCATGTGTCAGGGACAGTTTTCGATGTTAAAATTTATTTTTTTTCAAGGTTATGAATGGAATGCGATCTCGCCGAGTCAAATGACCTTCAAATTTGGACTCAGCGACCCTGAAAACATA